TTCATAAAACTTCAAATATAATAGGAAGACACGCACACACCGTGAGCCCTTCTGGACGAACGAGCGAGCGCGCGTGCAGGCGAGCAGTGTGTGTGCGTGTGTGTGTGTGTGCGCGCGTGCGTATGCAACTGAACGTAATATACGGCTTCCAAATTTTCAACATGCATTTGTATGAATTTTTCAATGTAACACACGATTCCTTGCTTTTTTAAAAGGAAGAATACATGAAATATATAAACAAATACTTTATTGATGAATTGGTGACAGAAATATTTTTCGTACGGACATACACGCACGCACGCACGCATGCACGCACGCGGGCGCGTGGTACGTGTCTTTAGGAGAACTAAATGTCTAGAAAGAATCACGCTTACCGTTTACATATTACACTTAGACTGCGTTCGGGGAGACGCTATTTGGTGCATGAGCGCGCTCTGGTCGTTCGTGGAGCAGCTTTATAGTACCAATGGAAGTTTTGTGACGTCATTGTTTCGTCATCATCCGTGCTAACTTGTGCTAAAGATTTCGAGGTAGGGCACGAAACGCTTATAGCGCTCATAGCGTTTTTAGTTAACTGCGCGAACGGTCTATTCTTTGTAGTTACACTCCTGAACTGATGTAGCTACAAAGAACAGACCAAATACGTGTATAGTATTTAATATTAAGTTAAATATTATTTTATACAAGTTAAAATGGACAAAACCTTTGTTATAAGTTTAAAAGACGTGGAAAACGGCCTGCTTTATACAACGTGTCTCTCATCAAATGATGCGCACAGAGTAAACACCGGTAAGTAATAGGAGGTTATGTTCCCATGTTGTATTTTTATAATATTATGACAAAAATTTTATCTCGACAAATGTAAAAAATAATATTAATATAATTAAATTTACTAAACGCGTTGATTTATATAAAGTTGTTATGAAAAACAAATTAATTGAGCCATTCAAATGCTATTTCTTAATAAACAATGTGTACAGGAGGATTTCAGTTTTTCTTTGTTAATAATGTTCATTCATTTATATTTTTCAGATAATGTATTTGCTACCCAAGTTTTAAATACATTAAAAAAAAACCAAAGAGAAATGGATCAGTTAGCTTCCACAGCTTCAAAAGTATTAACTGTAGATGACAAAAATCGTCCATCAGATTCCACAATTTCAACAGCATTAACTTTTGATGATACAATTTGTCCACCAGAAAAACATGACGTAGAAGAAGCTTTTAAATGGTCTCATGAGGCCATTCTCCTACTTGTAGAAGAATATCGTGGACATGAGAAAAAAATGACATCAGGTTAAATAATAATATGTTACTTGCATGTAGACAACTTGTGCTATGTTCTTTTCATAAATTTAATCTTTTTTATAGGCAAATTATCGCAAAAACATATGTGGGAATTGATTAGTGGAGCTCTTCGTAGCAACGGATATTGTGTTTCTGGCCCACAGTGCCAAAGCAAATTCAATGGCATGAAGAGAACATTTAAATCCATCAAAGACCATAATGCAAGGTCAGGTAATGCTCCTCGAGCCTGGCCTTACATGGAGGTTATGGAAGCTTTCTTAGGGGAGAAGCCATTTATGAACCCCGTTGCTGTAGCTTCTTCTACGGGTACAACTGGAATAGAGAGTGAGGACAGTGACATTTCCATGGACAACTGTGACATCTCTGTTAGCTGTAAATCTTCACGTAAAAGAAAAGCTTCTAACGTTGCAGAGGCTATTATGGAAAGTAGAAGAATTGGCGAAGAAAATAGACAAAGACGACATGAGCAAATGATTGAACAGCGAGCTAAACTGCTAAATGCTTTAGATAAACTTATTGATAAGTTCTAAGTAATATGTTCTTGCTAAGACTGTTAGCCTTGCTGTTAGACTTGCTGTTCATTTCCTGTGATAAGATGGATACTTCTAACTTTTTTTCTACAGTGACTTAACTTTTTTTGTAGGTAAGATGCATGTTGCGGAAGGCTATACTTCAGCACTTTAATATTTTTACTCCCTTCAACATTTTTAAAATTAAATTAAGATTTTTATGCAAGTTAAAATGTACCAAAGTGTCGTTATAATTATAAATGTGATAGTAAGATAGAAAATAATAATAAATATTTTGTTCGCTTTTACTGAAAGTAAGAGTAATTTTTACTTTGTATTGAAAATAAGAATAATTTTTAGTTTGTATTAAAAATAAAAATAATTTTTTCTTTGTTGATTTAATAGTTAACATGTTAATCTAATTACTGAAATTAAATATTTTAATGCAAGTTAAAATATAACAAAGTATCATTATAATTACAAATGTGTTAATTAGTTAAAATGAGATTAATTTTGTTCATTTGTATTGAAAATAATAATTTTTGGTTTTTATTGAAAATAAGAATAATTTTGTTTCTTCATTTAACTGTTCATTTATTAAACTAATGACTGAAATATGTATGCAATAAATATATATTTATACAATTATACAAACATGAAATATTTATTTATACTTGTATAATTATCATATATAAGAAATATATATCATATAATATTACATGTAATACGTATTATACATAAATACTAAACATATCGCATAGGAAGCCTAGCACAAATATAATCCCTTTTAGCAACGCCTGCCTGTTCCAGTCGTACGTTTTCATTAAATGGGTAATTGTCTTCAATTTCATTAATTTCCTCAAGTTCAATATCATCCCTTCGTAATAAGCAAATATTATGCATAACACAACATGCGATGATAAACGGTGGAATAAAATGGAGTCTAACCATTGCAAGAAGTGTTCTTATACTACGGAATCTTGTTTTCAGTAATCCGAAAGCTCTTTCAATTGCTATTCTGCTTGACGAATGACAGAAATTAAAGTTTCTTTGTCTAATAGTGAGATGTCCGTTGTCACGATAAGGAACAATGACATTTTCGTGTAACTTATATGCAGCATCACCAAGGATGTGGCAGTTCTGGGGAAATTTATCAGGATCCCCCAACCACTGTTGCAACTCAGATAATCTAAAAACACGTTGATCGTGTACAGAACCTGGGTGTCCAACGTAACAGTGAATAAAATTTGTTCTATGGTCACATACAGCCTAAAAATCAGGAAGAATTATTACAGTCTATTTAGCATGTAAATATTTAGACTACATTGAACTTGCAGTAATTAAAATACGCAATTAAGATTTAAATATACTTTTATTTATATTTGAATATAAGATACACACCTGCAGTTGAATAGAATAATGGCCCTTACGATTTATATACGATACTGGTTCAATAAGAGGTGCTGGAATATTTATGTGAGTACCGTCTATTGCTCCAATTACTTTCGGGAAACCACTGGTAGCTTCAAACCCAGTCCAAACTTCGTTGACCCTATTTCTTGATGGCCATTTAATAATATTTGGTGCCAAATTATAAAGAGCTATTATGACTCTTCGTGTAGCATAAAGAGCAGTGGATCGACTGACATCAAATTTCTCACATAAGGACCTGACAAAAAATCATTTGGCAATTGTAGACAAAAAAATTTTATTTAAAATATTTATACTTGTTTTTGTGCTGGATTCTGCAATATTCTACAAATGTATTTCTGAATTTAGCACGAAAACAAGCATTGTGTACCATCGAATTTA